AAATCCATTTGGAATTTCTTTATTGTTCCCATGGGACAGGACAGAAGAGGTGATGAAACGACGCAGAGATCTCTTGATTAAACACACGTTTTATCACGAGAGAACAAGTTTATTCGAATAATTCACTACCCACAGTTCAGGCTACATAATAGTCGCTAGGTTTGTAACATACTGTTTATTAGATTATCCTTGATTAGCACTGACAATTCACCGGGATTTAATATACAGGTCTCTACTAGTATCTACGTGTCTTTATTTTTTTTTCTTTTTTCCTTTTTCATTTTTTTCTTTTTTTCGTCGCCATACCACGCCTCCGTGACTCAGATGAAACGAACGTTAATCGTGTTGCAACGCAAACGAAACAATTCTTGACTATCACGAGCACGAATCGTAGAGACGTTGAAGTGAACATAGCACGTGACTATTTAGGGGACCGCCGTCTCTTATACCATTCATCCTCCGCGTTTAACACGCTCGGCTCGTATCTCTACGATTGATAGCACTCGTACACCAGTTACTCCCTTGACTTCCCTAAAATTATATCGTTACGCTGCTGGAAATTGCATTTTGCCAGGCATGCACGAATAGCCGTCGACTTATGGTTAATCTGTCTATCGTCTAGGATCGCGTGATCTTCAGGGATGCTCGACACCCATATTTCTCATTGAATATTCGAGATTTCTTTGTGATATATAAACGTACTTTTCTTTAAATAACGAAGTTAAATTCGAAATAATTATTTTTGGTGATTTTGTATTTTTTGAAAATTGTATTTTTTGGGGGTTAGTGACAGTGATTATTTTAGGGGGTGATTGGACGAGGAAGAAGGGTAGAAAAATTGAGAATATTTTTAGAATTTAGTATCTTGTTTCAACAAACACGAATCATTATCCTATTTTTAAAAATAAATTATGTTCATAAACATCTGCAAGCAATGATAGCTGTATCTCTTATTTTATTACATTTTGAATTTTGGATTTTAAATGCATAGAGTTAGGAACAATTCGAATTTTAGTATTACAATTCCGTCTTTTTGTGCAACACTTTTTATTAAACCTTTTTCCAGTGTACCTTCAGTCAAAACTCAAATTAAAATTATTTTTCACCTTTTCTGTGTTTTAATGTTCATTCTATTACTCGCTTTAAAACTTTCTTTTACTTCGCTGCAAATTTTAGGTATCAAATACTTTTCAATTAAAAGCCTTTCGAATTAAATTATAATTCTCCTTTTACAATTTATTTTTTCGTGAAATTCTTCCCCAATAAAAATCAACTAAAAATTTAAAAAAATAATAAAAATTATTATTCGTTTTTTGATTTCCGTCTTATAATTAAAAAAGAAAAATAATAAAAATGAAATGAATAATAAAAATTATTATTCATTTCTTTAATTATTATTCGTTTTTTGATTTCCGTCCTATAATAAAAAAAAATAAAATAAAAATGAAATCAATAATAAAAATTATTATTCATTTCTTTAATTATTATTCGTTTTTTGATTTCCATCTTATCATTCAATTCAAAGTCTGTATTTTACACTAAAATTATTTGATCTCATTGCAATTTTTAAATATTAAACGCTGCTCGTTAAAATCGTTTCGAATGGAGTAATTACAATTTCCCTTTTGTACCTCGTTGTTAATTAAATTCGTTCTCATTAGATCTGTAATTAAAGTGCAAATAAAAATTATTATTCGCCTTTTACGCGCTTCAATATTCATTCCGTTACTCAATCCAATACTGCGGGCTCTCTTTAAAATAAAGGATTCCGTAATCAGAGGAAAGATTAAAGATTTTATCTTCCTTCCGGGATGCTAAAAGGATTAGGAAAACCGGCGAAACTTTTTGCTGAAACTGAAACATTAATTCCCCGTAACGAACAAACCTCCAGAGTTTCAGATGTCTGTTATTTAGGGTGACGAGCATCCACGCATCCGTGCATTCGAATATCCGAGGAACGGGCGCGACAGTAATTTCTTCTCTCCTTTCAATTTCTTTCCTTTTTTTTCGCTTTTCATTCACCTTTCCTTCTTTCCTTTTCGTCCAGTGATAGAAACATTATTTCAGCCGGCGCGTGCTTGTGACGCGAGAGTAAAGCGGATATCCGTGTTACTCGGATAATACGGATATCCGTATTATTTGAATAATGCGATAGAGTAATCATATAATTCAAGAAAATTGTCATAGACTCGATTTGAGGGTGATAATAGAAATTATCCTATCACGTAATACAAATTATCTCGTGTATCGAACCTTGCTATTTATTGCACTGCAACGTGCCAAACGTTTCCTTTTTGCAAATGGGAAATGGGTACCAGAGAAGATTCATTTTTTTATTCCTCATGCGAATGTCCTTTGTACTCCTTCCTGTATTTTTCAAGCGTTTTTGTTACTGGTTCGAGAGAATTTTAGTGTGATTTTTGTCATTTTTAGCGAGAAATTAAAATTCACTCGAAGAGACTGATTTTGTAATTTTATTCTTGTGGTTGTTAGAAATTATTATATTGCTTTTGGAAAAATGAATATTGAATTTTATTCAAATAAAAATATACCTAATTTTGACAGGTAGTTTTAATTATATTAAAATGAAAAATATACCTAATTTTGACTGGTATTTTTAATTATACTAAAATGAAAAATTTATTATTTAGAATTTTTGTTTGTAAGGTATAGATTTTATGAATTAGGTATATTCTATGAATTTTGAAGTGAAGTTAGAATATATCAAGGATCGCATTATATTTTTATTAGTATCAAATGTCACAATCCAATAATTAATTAATTAACTCTATCCAATTTCTTAAAAATTAATTTTATGAACAAAAATTTCAACAGAACATTTACTCTAATTTATTTTATTATTGAGACTCGTTTTGGAATTTTATTTTTATAGTTATTATAAATATTATACTGCTTTTAGAAGAATTAATATCGAGTTTTATTCAAATAAAAATGTACCCAATTTTGACTGGTAGTTTTAATTATATTAGAATGAAAAATATACCTAATTTTGACTGGTATTTTTAATTACATTAAAATGAAAAATTTATTATTTAGAATTTTTGTTGGTAAGGTATAGATTTTATGAATTTTGAAGTGAAGTTAAAATATATTAAGATGTCAAAAATCACATTGCCACTATATTTTTATCAGTATTAAATATCGCGATCCAATAATTAATTAATTAACTCTATCCAATATATTTTAAATTAATTTCACGAACAAAAATTTCAACAGAACATTTCCTCTAATTTATTTTATTATTCGATTAAAAACTACACTGAAGTCTTTCTATTTGTCAGTATATAAAATTTACTTTGTACTTATTCAGGCAATTGCATAATTTTATTATCACCATAATAATACGGATACCCATTTTGTATAGAATTAAACATATAATTAGAGAGTTACCTAAGTTGCTCTGCTCGCGTTCGGATATTCGAATGCTCCTTCGCAAATTGAAACACCTGATTAATAGACAATTAAACATAGGGTTAATCAGGATTTATTTGTTGGTCCTTTGCGATCGATGATTCTCACTTTGCGATCCAGAAAGACGATTAATCGTGCGATGTCGACGATGATACTTCTGCATGCTTGTAAAAATCCACTATAATTTGTGAATTATCTACAAATTTCCAGTAATGACTTTCGCGAGAGACTTTCGATCAATGTAAAATTTATAACGCGATCAACGCTGGACCTTTGTATCCTTTTTTCTTTTAAGGCAAAAATGCGTTCACACGAGTAGAGAATGAAGAGCTATATATGGAATAAATAACAAAAGATTTTGAAAATTTGCAAGAGTAATATTCGTAATAATGCGTTGATTTATTTCTTTTTTATTTTAGCAATTTGGAAGTATAATGCAAAATACGGTTTGAATTTTGGGAATAAAATAATATTATTCTTCACATATTTCGTTTAGCTCAAGAAAGAATAATTTTATTTAAAAGTCGCCCAGTAATTCCATTTTTCGTTATCATGGACGCAAATTTTGGTTACTTACATTAAATTTTTGTTTCTTGAAAATTTGCCTTTAAATTGACTATACGAGAAAGTGTTTTTAAAAGCTTCGAATTTTCTCATTTTCTCGTTAAGTTATTTAGACGAATTTCAGTGGAAGTAGATCATTTAATTCTTCTAGTGAATTTCATTTTTGAATTAATTTCAAGTCGATTGAACACCAAGTTGCTTTCCGAGGAAGTCACGTTTGGATAAAATCGAATAATAATATTTATAAGAAAAATTGGAAAACAGGTTTGATAAAATTTTTCGATGACTCTATTAATGATTCTGTGTTAACATGGCTACTGTTTAAGAATCGCAATATCCTCGACCCGGTCAGAAACGTGTCAGAATCGACGAACGAAATCGAAAAGAGCGATAACGAAGTTGAAAAATATACAAATTGGAATTACAGAACTTTATTCACATTATTCAGCGTTCATTCCTTAATCTCTTCCATAGTTACTCGATTAGAACCTAATTAAGGAGGCACATTCCAATCTCAAATTTCCAATTCATATTCTCCCACCATCTCAGTTACTTATAATTCTCTTTATTCAAATTTACACCTTCTGGGAAAAACTTATAGTATCCTTTACACCTCTCCGATCGTACGAGTTCTACACAACGGAACTAAAATTTAAAATCTACCAGAACCACTACTCAACAACGTACGTGTAACAAATATCCGTCAACACCAATCGAAATAGAGAAAATAAAACGAAATAAAATAAGAACAATTACTCTGAAAATCAACAATCACTCAGCTTCATCGCACTCTAGCAACCCCATTGAATCCATTTATTTCCAAACCTTAAAGCCCCTCGGCGTCCTCAGAAATTCTCCAATCGTCCCCGTAATATTGTCATTCTTAAACAAAAACCAAGTGGAATCCATGAGAAGAAGGGAGAAACACGAGCCAACGTCTTCAAACGAATACATGCCCAATGTCAAGGGGCGACAAGCCCGTCAGACGAGCGTTGCACGCGATCCTAGGGATCCTCTTTCGTGGTCGGTTGTATCTGGTGCACCATACTCGGCAGATGATGATGATGGTGTTCCGGTCTCCTGGATAGTCCCAGCAACGGTGGCAGCAGTGGCAGAGGCAACGGCAAAGGCAGACCACCAGGGAAACCAGCCAGTCCACCGAGGAGCGCGGAGGCAGTTGAGTGTTCCTGAGCCTTTCTTCTTAGCTCGGCGAGGCTGCTGTTCCTGTGCAGATCGCCGGTACCCGGCTTGCAACAGCCGCACAAGGACCCCGGCCATCCGGCTGGGGACCAGGACAGCATGTCCTGCAAGCTTCCGGGTCGATGGTCGCTCGAGGTCCACAGCGACGGAGTGGTCGAGGTTAGGGACGTTGGCGCGCTACTGACCACCTTGTTCCCGAATAACGGCGGAGAGAACTGCGCTGCCAAGTGCGGAGAGAAGAAGAGCGACGTGGGAGGCTCGACTGGCCTGAAACCCGCTGCCAATCCTGCAACGCTGCAATTTTAATTTGGGCCCGTGTTCATTAATCGTTGTTTATTTCGGGGTTTGCAGGGATTTTCTGGGGATTTTTGATAGGTTGTTTAGGTTAGAAAGGATTTGTTGTAATGGGTTTGGTGTGGGAAGGGTTTCTAGTCAGAAGCTTGGTATGAGGAGGGGTTTAGAAAATATTTTTGATAAAATGTGTCAGCTGGAAAGTCTAGCCTGGGTAGGGTTTTTGACAGCTGATTCAGCTTTGGGAGAATTTCTGACGTTAAAATTAGTTTGAAAAAGGTTTTTGGTAGGAGATATTACTTGGGAATGTTTTGGTAACAAGCTTGGTTTAGAGAGAGTTAGAGGTTAGGTTTTAGAAAGGATTTCTGGTATCAAGTTTGGTTTGAAGAGGATTTTTGATAAGAGGTTTGATTTAGAAAATAAATGTGTGAGCTGGAAAGTCTAGTCTGGGTAGGGTTTTTGCTTTATGGGATTATTATTGCAATTGTTCTAATCCAATTATTCATCATTTGCTCATTTTAAACCATGCTGTATCTAACTATAATTATTCTACTACCACAGAAATCTTCCACAGAACAGAATAATTCCTCATAAAATGTATTTAAGAATTTTCTACTCCTTCCAATTTATATCTCACTTTTTCTTAACCCACCTTGCCTTTCTCAAACCTAGACCAATATTAAATTTTCCCTTATAAAAATATTAGGTAAGACTTCTGGAAATGTGTAGGATCAAAATTGCATAATAGATTTATTTTTGCAGATCAAGTTACAATTGAACAAAATGAATTCTCAAAAGTGTTCCAATTATACCATTTGCTCATTTTAAACCATGCTGTATCTAACTATAATTATCCTACAACCACAGAAATTTTCCTCAGAACAGAATAATTCCTCATAAAATGTATTTAACAATTTTCTACTCCTTCCAATTTATATCTCACTTTTTCTCAACCCACCTTATCTTTCTCAAACCTATACCAATATTAAACATTCCTTGCTCCCCTATTTTTTATAATAACCAAGCTGAAAACATCATCAAGATCAACGCTAAGCTTTCATCGAGCTTTTTCAATTCGACGAAATAATTAGCAAAATAAATTACAGCCTTCGAGTTCATCGGCAAGGGGTGAGCGAAGAGAAGGAGGAAATGGAAAGGGTGGAAGTGGAAAGCAGAATGGCTCACGAAAGCGCTAACCCGATTAGCACGCGCGATATTCCGCATCCTCCAACAGCCGGCAGAGGCTGCTTCGAGGCGCTGATGATTATCTCAAATATTAATCGCAAATATTGTTTAATTAATGTAACGTGCCCGAGGTGAAGCTCGAGACGGAACGCAAGAGTGACGGAAACGTAGGTACGACGAGTCCTCGAGTCGAAAGGAGAAGGATCTTTAATTAGAGCAACGGAGACGGAGCGAAGATGGTAAATAGAGAGATACGATGATGGATAAACGTGTTCAAATAGATGGTGGAATCTTGGGGAAAAAAGATAAGTTAAGCAGAGTTAAAGGATGGGGTTTTCGAAGTTATGGGTGGAGGGTAAATAATTTTGCGAAGGCAAATAACGGAGAAGAAAGTATCCAGGTTTAATGAATAATAAACAATCGAGAATAATATAAAAATTAGGTAGAAAGACGTTTTGGTTGTTATTTAATAATTCTCGAGATTTTTAATTAATTACCTTCAATTTAATATTTTTATAAAACATAATAATATATAAATTTTTATAAAGCATAATATATTAAATATTTGTTTTTATTTATACATTATGTATTATTTTTTACTACTACACATGCATGGGTCTAATTGTAAATGGATTAAATATACGTGTGTATATTATTCACAATTTGAGATAGTTAAAGAACAAAAATGTTGAAAGTATAGTAATATTAAATATTTCCAACTATTCAAATTGTCAGTTATCAAGTATTTCTCGAATCTTAAAGAAATAAACAATATTAATTATTCACACTTTAAAGCAAGAGGAAAAATATTAGATGTGCAATAATAATATGAATAAAATAAATCAGTAATTAACAATTGATGCAACAAAATAAAGATGCAGCTAATTGTTCAAATAATCCCAGTACACGCAAATTCAACAACAGCTATTGTAATTTTAATTTAAAAACAAAAATTCAAAATAATTTTCCAGAAATTAAAACTTCAAGTAATTTTCCACAAATTAAAAATTCAAAATGGAATCAAGAAATTCACCTGAACAAATAAAAATTCAATCGAACACCAATCATCTATTCCCAAATATTTCAATTACCAAAAATTTAAGAAAAGAAAGGGAAAACAAAGATGAAAAAGAAATTACAAATTGCACAAAATCCAAAATAAGAATCAAGTAACCACCCTTAACCAAGAACTCAAACTTCTCAAAAAATTTAAGCAGATCCATTAAACATCTTTACCCAAAACGCAAGAAACGCAAAAATCCGTCTTAAACGATACGATTAAGAAACTACCCCACTTGGGAGTTAGTAGAAAAGGACAGAAGAGAGGACAGGGATAACGATATCTGGGTCGTAGCTGAGAACGGAAACGGAGCTGGAAGTCAGTGCAGCAGCCAGGAGCGGATTTTAGGTGGCGGAAGGAGGCAGGGGTAGAAGACCGCAACGGGGTGGTAACGAAGGGTGGCAAAGGAGGCGGAAGGCGATGGCAGAGGCGCAGAGAGGAAAGCTTGAACCGCGGTAAGCGCGATAATTAGCGGCAATTAGCTGCGTAGCCTAGCGTGCACCGCACTTACGCGCGCTTGCTTGCCTTCCTCGCGTACACGCACTTCGTTTCTTCGTCTCTACGCGCCTAATCGCGCCGTCTACACCGTCTGCGCCCTCGCAGATTATGGCTACCTCGCTGCGAAATTCTAGGTGGGTCCGTGTAACTGCTTTCAGAGACGAGACTGTGTACGTTAACCTTTTGTAACGCCTGTTTTGCTCGAGGAGGAGGGGTTCTAATTTATTATATTCTTCCGTATGTTAATTTGAATTTTATTTTATGTTAATTATGAGGTTTGCCATGGGGTTAATAGCTGTGGGATTTAATGAGTTAGTGTATTTCTTCCTTCTTTTTGAAATTTTGAAATTTACTGAGAGGGTTGATGAGGAATTTGGTGTATTCTTGGTTTTTAATTTTGAGATTTATTTGCGGATTTAACCCTTTCCACTCGACGATTTGTTGGCCAGAGAAGAGTAGAAATTCAATGATTCTCTACTAAAAAATTGACGATACTTTTTTGATAAATAATACAAAGAAAAAATTGTATAATAATAGAATTCTAGAATTATTTGACTTCGACACTTCGCACACTGTTACATTACATTAAATTTGATGTATTAATTAATATCGATCTTCCAAATTTCATGAAATGGTGACTGAAGCTCTCCTCTCAAGTGCAAAGGGTTAATAATTCAGGAATCAGGTGGATAAGTGTATTTTCTTTTCTTTTTTAATTTTGAGGTTTATTGAGGTGTTCATATTTGAGGGATTTAATGAATAAGGGTATTTTTTTTTTTTTAATTTTGAGATTTGTCATGGGGGTTGATAATTGAGGGATTTGGTAGACAAGTATGTTCTCGAGGATTTCGTTAAAATTTTCAAGGATTTGTTGTTATGAGAAGTGTTGAATAGAGTATAGTAAACTGCTATTATTCAGAATGTTTGATTATCCGGCAATTGTAATTGACGAAGATATTATTGAACGAATTGAAGGAAGATTGTAATGATAATTGTAATAAATCAGGTAACGGTTTTATAAACGTGTTCCCAGTTATTAAGAAGCTTTCATGGCAAGAGGAATATTTTATATAATAGTTAGAATGAAAGATAAGACAAGTAACCCTATTATTTATGCAAAAAAATTAGCTCACCACGATGTTAATCGAAAATGTCAATAAAATTAAAATTTTTATTTATATTATATAATAATTTTTTTATATTATAAACTATATGAATTATTCATATTTAATAATTATATAATAATATTTATCTTATTATCATTCCTAATATATCTCAGAAAAATTGTGAATATAGATCGTAAATTTAAGAAAAAGAATGATTAAAATAGCAATCTATAATCGTCAAAAAATAAATACGTAATAATAAAAATATAATATATATGTAATAATATACCAAATTATCAATTTTTATACGAAACGGTTTGGATTCAATATCCACTAAATTTCATCCTCCAAGAATTATCGTGTACTAAAAACTCTTTTATTTATATTAAAATTGCATTAAAAAATTTTTTCTAATTTTATATCCCAAGTATTTTACGTACTAAAATACGTAATAAAAGTGTCGAGTAATTTATACTATAAAATAGTTGTACGTATAGTAATTGTTTTATCCAATGTTCGGAAATAGAGATTTGTCAAAAAAATTGTCCAAAATCATAAACGAAAAACGAATGAAAAGTTAGTTTTTCGCTTGGACGAATCACGAGGGGGATAAACGAGACGGATAAACTCGAATCTCTTTCCCAACAAGTTTAAATGCATAGTACACGGAATGCACGAGTTTACAGATCCTATAAAACAGTTAGAGTGCTCGTCGAAGCACCAAGTTTTCTTACGCGTTTCGCTGGTTCAACGAGATAAAACATGCTTCTTAATCGTTTCACGGTCCTTAACAACGATGATGAGGACACCGTAACGACGTGGAAGCTGCTTCTTTTGCGTAATACGAATCCATTAACATCTTTACTTAAAATTCAATGACGTCAAAGTACTTCATCCTCCGCGTCGCCGACACGGTATGATACACGGTTAAAATTGATACTTTCTGGATCGTGTGTGCGCTTGTTTGCGAGCAGAACACGAATGCATCGCATTAACGAAAATCATTGGTACCAAAACTAATCGCAGAATCAGATAGCGTAAGCATAGCTCATCTATAATTATCGCTGCTGTTAAAATCTACTCTTAGGTTGGTGCATATGAAACGAGATAGTCGTTTCTTTCAGATATATTTTTTCGAAATATATTCTGGTTAA